TCCTTTTTTTTTTTTTTTTATATTTTTAGTTGTAGATGGCATAATACCTTTATTGTATTTATTTATATTTATGTGGTGCTCAGGATCGAACCCTGTGACTCAAGCATGCTAGGCAAGGGCTCTGTCACTGAGCCCCAGCCCCAGCCTTAGAGTTCTTATCCCTAGAGAGTCAGGCCCAGAAGGTCCTTCAACAGGCTTATGTGCCTTGTAAACATTGTCTCCTGTCAGGCTACTTGTCTTCCCTCTGCCCACCTGAAAATTCCTCTCTAGCCTCAAGGATGTGGAGCATTCATTCATTCCATAAAGAACTACTGAGTCTCCAGCTGTGCTGAGCCTGAGGGAAGGGAGACTCGGCAGTGAACAAAACAAAGTCCCAAGAGTGTAGAGAAAAAGGCAAATGCATAAATGAAAGTACTGGATGAGATCCTGTGGTGAATGCTAAAGCAAAACTCTAATTTAAAAAAGAGAAGCCTGTGAGGTGGCATGGTGGCACACGCCTATAATCCCAGCTTCTTGGGGAAGCTGAGTCAGGAGTTCAAAGCTAGCCTCAGCAACAGCAAGGCACTAAGCAACTCAGTGAGACCCTATCTCTAAATAAAATACAAAATATTGTGCCCCTGAGTTCAATCCCCAGTACCAAAAAAAAAAAAAAAAAAGGGAAGACGGGAACAGTGATTGAGGAAGACTTCCCAACAGGAATGAAATTCTCTTTTTCAAATGTTATGAGGTACAACATTTGAGCTGAGAAGCCTTAATGAAGTAAAAAAGAGCCAGACTATAAATAAYCTGGAGAAGTTTCTAGGCCAAGGGAATAGGAAACAAGACTAGCAAGAGGCTGGTATAGATGGAAAGGAATCCTGGGAAGTGAGTAGAGGTCAGATCATGAAGGTCTTGCAGGCTGTGCTGAGCTAATTGGCTTTTCCTGTGTGAGATTGGAGTCACTGGAGGATTTGGAACAGAGAGGCACAGCTCAAATCAGTTTAGAGACCTACACTGCTATTTCCATGTAAGCCCCTGGCATGTAATAGGTGCACAATAAACATTGGTGGTCAATATCACTGTTTTCAACCTGGCTACTGGACATTGAGCTCAAAAGGCAGGAACAGAATCATCTCATGCCTTGAGAGGGGTGCTGAGATGTGTGAATACACGAGTGAGTGATTCATCGGGTTCTCACCAGGTGTGCTGGTGCACACCTGTAATCCCAGCTACTCAAGAGGCTGAGCCAGGAGGATGGCAAGTTCCAGGCCAGTTTCAGCAGTTTATTGAGACTCTGTCTATAAACAAAAGATAAAGCCAGGTGTGGTGCAGTGGCACATGCCTGTAATCCCAAAGACTCGGAAGACTGAGGAAGAAGGATCACAGCTTTGGAGCCAACCTCAGAGACTCAGCAAGACCCTGTCTCTAAAAATAAAAAGGACGGGAGATGTGGCTCAGTGGTTAAGCATCCCTGGGTTCAATCCCTGGTAACAAAATTAATAAATATGGCTGGGGATACTACTGCAAAAGTGTTCTGGATTCAGTTTTCAGTACCCAAAAAAAGGGTAGGGGGTAGGTTTCTCAGCATGAAACTCATGCCCCAGAAGAGTGGAGGGAACTGTGGTAGCTTCAGAGTTACAGAGTGACAGAAGCATGTCACTGAATGTACAGAAGATAAAAACCTGTTTTACTTAAGTACCATTGTCTGGAGCTAAGAGATCACATGATGTACCTGGGTCCAAACCTGGGCTGCAGGAGCCAAAGTACACCTGCCAATCACCAGGCAAACCGCATGGGGCATCAGCTTTTAAAATCACCAGGATCTTAGAGGCTCATCCTGATTCCCCTTGGAGTGTCAGGAAAAGGTGTTTGGCAAAAGAGAACCCCAACAAGTGCAGCCAAGTCTGGCCTCTGTACCCAAARTTTGGGATTTAGGCTGTAAATCCTAAATTTGGGAGGTGTCAGAGAGTAATGTGGGCCAAGGCAACCATGGAGGGCTTCCTGGAAGAGGTACAACTTGGGAGGGATGGATAACATTCATAGTGAAGAGATCTGGAGTTGCACTCTCCTCCTCTTTCCTTCAGCTGCCCTGTGACACTCTCACCTCTGAACCACACCTGATTCCACTCCTTCCTCTCTGCAAGATAAAAAGCCTTGGCTTGGCATTCCGAGTTCCGCTTTCAGAAGTGGCCTCGGCCTACCTATCCAGCTTTGCCTCTCAGGCAGCCACTCATCGTGTGTGAACATCCCGGCATCTGCAGACGCCAGTGCCTTTGCTCATGCTGGTTGCTCTGCCAGAAGTTCCCTTCTTCAGTCCCGCTTTTCAAATTGCTGCCCAATCCTCAAGAGCCAGCTGACCAGAGAAGTCTCTACCCGTAGCCTCCTCCTTCTACAGTTGTGGTGAACTCTTTGCCAAGCTGGACTTTGTTGGATTCTGTCTGCTTGGGATGACCATTATGCCTCTTTTCCTGGTGTAATTATTAATACTGACTCCTTCCACCTCGAGATGTGCTTCAGTGGATGAAGTTGTGCAATCAGCCGTCACCACCCCACCCTTCCCCACCCAACAGAAACTTCAGGAGAAACCCTGCTCATTCTTTATCTTGTCGGAGCCTCCCCAGCATGGTAACTCGTTTGGATAAGGTCACTCCCTCACATGGGTGATTGTGGGGTGCTGGACACTGAACCATGTGAGGCCCAGTGGCAGACAGACCAGTACCTGTTTCCCTGACTCCTGTGAGAGGGAAGAGAAGATAAGAGATCAAGGTCTTTTTGGAATCACAAGAGATAAGAGAAAACTGTGAAGGGCTGGACAGGACCTGAACAAGTTGAGGGAGCGGGAGATGTGACACCTGAAGGGAGAAAATTGCTGAGAGGGAAAAGCAAATGCAAACACCCTGAGGCCAGAACGAGCTGGCTGTATTTAAGGAGCAGCAGGGGCTGTGTGTAGGGGCTGGTGTAGAGAGATCAAARGGAGATGCATGAGAGATGCTAGCAAGAACCAGAAAAGGCAAGGTTTGCAGTGGCAGTAGGAACTGGGGCATTTGTGTGTGCTTGTCAAGAGAGTTTGGATGGGGGAGTAACAAGAACCAAGCCATTTTTTCCCCAGACCAAAAAGTTTTTATTTTTCCATCATGCATATAGAAGGCAAAAGTGCCACAAATCCTCTTTAGATTGGACAAAGTCAGTCTGGGCATATTTGTTAAGAAGTAGCGATATCAGTTATAGTGATGTCAATTACAACACGACTCCAGGGCACAGATTCGTCAAGACCATTCTGGAGATTATTCTCACAAAACATGGTAACAACTTCCGTGGTAGGTCCTAAAAAACCACCTTCTTCAAACTACTTCTAAGAACAGGTATAGTATCAGGCCACAACTTGATAAGAATCAGGAAGAGTCACATAAGTTTCCGAGTGACACAGAACAATTACATTGACAGTTTTACAAATGTTCTCAACTAAAAGCAACAAACAGGCCTAAACAGCTCCATTTTCCAGTGGGCTGGAAACAGAGAAGGGGATGCTTCGGTTCTTAAAAGCAGCAAAAACCCTATAGCGTTAACTTTACACACACAAGGTCATACCTGACTAGGAGGGAAAGACTGAAGTTGTAGTGCTCTCTCATTCTCACAATTTACAAAACATATTGGTGAATCCAGGAAGTTAGTAAAAATCAGGGCCCTCTACCCCGCAGGCCCCCTGCCACCCCACCTTTCCTACCAGCTCCAGCTTGTTGCACTGCCCTCCCCACTATTTTGTGTTCCTAGGTCCTAGGAGCAAAAGACAGGCCTTATGTGGGCAGGGGCCACCACCTCCCCTAAATAAAACAGAGACAGCCCACAGTCCCAGAGGGCACTTGGAGGAGAGGAGTAGCTCAGCCCTTRTACTTATAGAAACCTGCAACCTATGGTGGGGAGCACAGAGGGGGCTGGGTCTGGAGGAGGGAGAAGAGTTGAGACTAAAGTTCCTCCAAAAGAACATCTTGTAAAATGAAATGATTAACTCTCCCTGCCCCTGGGGACTTCCTGGTCTGCTGAGMAGCCCTGCCCACCTTTTGAAGATTCTAGGCCTTGTTAAATGGGGTGGGGCAAGTGAGCAGAGGGGGCAAAGAGAGCCCTGGCAGTTTACAGGACAAGCTTTCCCTTTCTGGAGACAAAGATGAATTCAAGAAAGTCTGTCTTCTTAGCTATTTGCAAACACTTTGCTTCTTCAGTTTTCGTTTCTGAGCTGCGACTTTAAGGAAAAATGGTGAGATCTAGGCCAATGTAGACACAATTCCCAGCATCCACAACTTGGCAGCTAAGAACACGTGGGCAGGAGAGCCAGTGAAGGGTATGGATTCTCTGTGGGTCCAGAAATAGGGTTCAGGAAAGTGGGCTCCTGGAGGATCTCATCTTTGCCGCCACCTTGACCACGTGCCCAGATATGCCAACCTGGCAGAGCTTCTGGGCAATTGTGAGATCTCCTGTGCATTGGCAGGTGGCCCAGCAGGGTTCACAGACAGTTTTTGAGATTCTTATAGACCTGGGAGTAGGCCAAGGGCTGATGGCTGCCTGGGCAGAACTTATGAGAAATGTGAGAGCCAGGCATTCATGGGGCATAGTGCAGGCCTTCAAGAGCAAGCCCCGGCAGGGACCCAACGTGGGGAGGAAGAGCAGGGGAATCACAGAGTGTGCTGCCCGCTGCTCCCTGCTCCAGACCTCCCCCAGGCCTGCTCTGCCCATGCCCAACAATCCATTTGGTGGTAACCTGGCCTGTGGTCCTGAGGCCTTGGGATGTCCAAGTCTGGCTGGCAGGCAGCACCAACTGCCCCAACCATCTGAGTCTCAGCCACAGCCAGTGTGGGGAGCTGTCATGAGCGCAGCCAGCACAAACTCAAAGCCCATCCAGCTGCGGCTTTGAAGCACTAGGCGGCAGAGAGGCACGGGTCTTCCTGGTGATGCCTTGTGAGGGCCAGCGTCAAAACTGGGTGGGAAGGCCAGATCCCAGACAGGGCCAGGCCAGGAAGATGGTGGCGGATACATGGACAGCACTGGACRTGCTGGAGTAAATGCAGTGGCATGTTTCAGTCATGTGATGTTGACAGAGAACAGCATGAAGTTCACATGGAAACTGCAGAGATTGGCCACGAAGGCCACAGTCTAGGAGCTGAGTCCATTGAACATCCAGAGGAGCCAAAGGGTGCAAAAGAGAAGGCAGACAGCAGGGCACCCACTGTGGGCCTAACCTAGGTCCACAGGAGGTGGAAAGGAGTCTCTGTAGGACTCAGCCAGACTGGAACCTGGAGGCCCGAGGTGGGGCCTCTGTGGGCCACCTTGCTAGGCCTCGCCTGGCTCTGAGGGGCCTATCCCCCAGCAAATAGTACTGCAGGGGGTTAGGCCACAGGTCATCTTTGATGATCTGGGCAACCCTGTCGGCCTCTGGGAGGCTGTGCTGTGAAAACCAGCTGAAGAAGCTTCGCACTGTGTCTCTGTTCCTATGAACCAGGGCTGGGGGTTCCTGACCTCGATGCCATCGGATCCGAGTTGCAATGGACACCACCCGGCCTGAAGACCTACACTCGTACTCCTTCACTATCACCTTGTTTTGAAAGTAGGGGTTGCTCCAAAAGCGGAACTTGAACTTGCAACCTGACCTGGCATGCCTGAGTTCCCTCACCTCCAGATTCATCAGGTAGCAGAGCATGTCTTCATCTCGGGGGCTGATCATGGTTGACAGCTGCGGGTGGTTCAGGAAGGCGGTGACCCAAAACCCGGGAATATTCTGGATGATGAAGCTTCTGCGGGCTAGGTGCAACCGGCGCATCCTCCCAAAACTGCGCTCAAGCCAGAGGTAGGCCCTGTCGGCCTGGCCACTCAGGACTTCCAGCTCCCACTGGATGGCCTCCAATGGGTCCACAATGAGACCATCAAGGTTTAGGGGCCTCGGGGCCTCCTGTGCCTCCGCGCCCACCTCCAGCCTCTCCTCCCCCACCTGCTGCTTCTCCACCTCCTCCGCCGCCTCCTCCATGAAGATGGCGCCCTCCTCAGTCGTCACTTCCTCGGCCTTCCCACCGGCCCCCGCCCGAGCCCCCCACTCTTCTGCGCCACACGTTTCTGGGGTCTCATCCCCGTGGGGGCCGCTTTCCAGGCTTGGGTCAGTCGCCACCGAGGCCACTTCCCGAAGCCCTGGGGCAGGTGAAGCGGTCCCGGGGCCGGCTGCAGGGTGGGGGTCCCCGCGTCCCCCAGCTCCCGGGACCCAGGCCGCGGGGGCCAGGCGCTCGCACCCCTCCTGCGCGGACCCAGACGGTGGGCTAGCGGCAGCTTCCAGGGCACCCGCCCCCTCGTCCGCCATCACCTGCGGGCAGCCTCTTGGCTGGTGGGGCTCAGGCGAGCCTGCGGGCTCTGCGACAGGGGCCGCGGCAGTGGCAGGTCGCGGACAAGCGGCGGGAAGGTGCTGTCTCCTCCTCCGGGGCGCGCTCCGCCCCTCGCACCCCTCTTCCGGATGTGACTCGTTAGGGTCCTCCCGCGCGGGGGAGACAAGGGACCTGGAGTTCTGGTGTGTATGTGGGGGCTGCCCTGTGGGGACGTGGCCCCCGGCGCTAAACAGAACTGGCTCAGAGGCAGTGGAGGTGGGGGAAAGTGCAGGGGTGGACCAAGCAAGGGCAGCCCATCACAGCCACCACGGCTGGCATTYGTTCCCCTTGCTGGGCTCTCTTGGGGCCACTGAGGACACTTGCACTTTCACACAGGATACATTTTCACAGGCACAGCCGAGGGGCCAAGGGGTGTTCCTTGCAGAGGCTGACCACACTTGAACCCGGTGCCGAAGATAACAGTAACTGTGGCACCCAAGGTGCTCCTCTTGTGGAGAAAGGGAAGAAAATAGTTATTAATGAGTAGAAAGATCCCAAGCAAGGAAAGGCCTCAAACCACTGCAGAGCAGRGAGCGAGAGCATCAGCCTGGTCCGCATGTTCCTCCTGGGCTGGCTGGCTGAGACCAGGCGGCCCTTGCTTCATTTTATGCCAGGCCAAAGGGGTTAGTTACCTTTTGCTCAGTACCACTCATTTCACAAAGCCGGACTTGAGTCTGAAGTGATCTGTTCCTGGGTAGACCAGCCCCTGCAGTCCAGGACCGGCAAATACATCCACACTCCTATGGTCTCAGTTCCTAAACTTGTGGCATATGGAGTTCAGTAGACCTAATTCCATTTCTGCCAAATCCCTGCCACTTACTCCAGAAAGCCTTGAGCCTCTTTCCTGCCCAATGGACATGACAGCTCCTTCATCTGAGCCACCGGGGCTAGCCTAAGGTATACACAACTTAAGAAGGCAAGGTGGATTCTCCTGAGGCCCCAACTCATTGGGGTGGCCAGTGAACATGTAAGTAGAATGATGGATGAAGGGTCAGCTCGCTGCCTTTGTTCAAGCACACACTCACACCTGCTAGTGCCCTCATGGGCTACTGGGCTCATGGTTTGGATCTGGAGCCTTTGGTCCGCCAAAGGCTCCTTCTCATGTTGGAGACTTGGTCCCCAATGCAGCAATATTCAAAGGTGGGGCTTTTTGGAAGTGATTGGATCACAATTCCGATCTCATCAATAGGTTAATCCATTGATWGGTTCACAWTTGAATGGACTATGGGAGAAGTGGGGGAAGCTGTAAGTTGGGGCTAGCTGGGAGAAATAGGTGACTGGAGATATGCTCTTATAAAGGTGAAACCCTGGCCCTTGATGGAAGGATCTCAGCATAAAGGGTGGCGCCCAGGATGGTGATGACATTTGTTAGGACTAACCAAGCAATGTCACCTGAAAGCATGTCAGCCTCTCAACAGTTGTTGGGCACAGGCATAGGTGCACCTTGGGCAGTGTAGGTGACTGTGGTAGACATGTATATTTTTTGGACAACCAGTTTCTCGTCCTAACAGTTGCCCATGTTTACTGTGAGAAACCATTCCTCCTTGGTTTCAGTCTCAAAGTCACCGATAGGGTCTGCTTTAGTTGATGGGGGAGAACACCAYGGAAGCCAATGGAATAGGATGCTTACTGGGGCGTCTGTGAACAAAAGGACTCCTCCCAAAAGCCTGAAGATCCTCTGCTGGTCAGTCCTGTGTGTGAGTGACAAGTCAAGAATCGTGGCAGAATTCGGATCTCACACAAAGGAAGAACATACTTTGTAGAGCCTGAGGATGAAGTCAGGGCGGACACACAGCAACGCTGAGGCCAGGCATGTTCCAACCTCTGAGTTAGGCCTGACCTAAAGACTGTGCTGCTGCTGGCATTTTCAGTTACCTAAGGGGCTGGGGATGTGGCTCAAGCGGTAGCGCGCCTGCCTGGCATGCGTGCGGCCCGGGTTCGATCCTCAGCACCACATACCAACAAAGATGTTGTGTCAGTTACCTGAGATGTTGCTGTTTGAAGTCAATTTGATTTGCTTTTTCTGATCCTTGCACCCAAGATTAACTGATAGAATGATACCACTTACCTCAAAGATACCCAATTAAGAGCTTCCATTTCAAACTCCATCTTTAATGCGAATGGCTACTGCTATCTGCCCTACACTCACCATCCTCACCCTGGATGCTACAGATGTCTGGAGATTCCAGTTTTTCCCAATTCCAGGCTTTCTCCAACCCTTTCCCAATTAGGTTCACAACTGCCAAACACATCATTCAGAAGTTTTTAATAAACAACTTCATTATAAAAACTTTTTTTGAAAATGTAATTCTGTAAAACATTGAAAAAAATCTACTTTAACAAAGATATGCCCTGTGCATTTTCTAATGGCACTTATATTTTACAATTAAAAACCTTGTTTTATATAAAGCCAAAAATACTCCAAGAGGTTATTCACTGTGTTTACAAAGTGCTAGAAGGTTTTTGTCTTGTATTTTTCTCTCTTTAAATAATCTGGCATTACGAAAGGGTGGCTCCGAAGCCTCGACCACAGGGAAGGAGGGGAGAGCGTGAGAAGAGATGTTCAGGAGTTCTAGTGCCGGATATGCAGAGGTGGAGAGGTGTGGGGGGAGAATCAGCGCAGGAAGTCAGCCGACACCAGAAGCCACTGGACTGGAACACTTCCACACCCTCCATGGAGGCACTAGATTATGACGGTGAACACCCCTTTCCCTCGCTAGACCCTACTCTCTGGTGGTGAAGGTCACAGCCAATTCCTTCCACAGCAGGATCAGAGCTCCAGGAGAGGCCAGGGTGGGGTTCCAGACGAATCTGGACTTTTCTGGCCAACACCTGCCTAAGGCAAAGTTTCTTATTACATAAATATCCTTGTTAAAAAGCAAAATATTGATCCTGTACAATATAACCTGTTAAAAAAAAATCGTGCTTAAAAACAGCTCCTAGATAAGAGGGGAGGTGGAGAGGGGTGGTGGAGAAAACAGCTACCAAAGGGGAGGAGGGAATTCAAAGGGGCTACTAGGGAAAGTTTAGGGTACTGGGAGAATTTCAACTTAAGACAATATCTACGAGCAAAAAGTAATCACACCTGCTTCCCGGATTTCCATTAACAAAATGCCACTTATAAAATGGTCGGGGAGGGGGGGCGCGCAGAGGGTGTTGGGGGCTGACACTCACTGGTGCATCTTTCCCTGCCTCCCAGCTCACTTAAGATGGTACAGGGACCCTTTGGGCTGACACCTGGGTGTGCCAGCACTGGGCCCCCAGTACTATATCAGCTCTGGCCACCTACTGGGCAGGGTGGGAGTTGCCTGTCCTCCTGTACAGGTCAGCTCACTGCTGACAGGCTGGAAGAGGTGGCAGGGAAAGAGAACATCACTCCTTTTWTCTGGTCCCTGACTGGTGTGTGCCACATGCCATGCATGGCTCCTGACCTGGGCACATGCCCTTCAGGATCTCATGGCCTCAGTAGGGGTACTGAAGTGAGCACAGATTAAAAATCCTTTGAACAGTGAGGCCAAAAGGGCTTTTCTGGGCAGTGGATGGGAAGAAGCTAAGAAACAGCAGGGATATGGTCCAAAGATGTAGGCAGATAATGTTCTTCTGCACTAGCAAAGTTCACAGTGACAGGAAAATTCCTTGTGGTGGTAAGGGCACTGAGGAGAGACAGGAAGAGAGATGGGAATAGGCGAGGGCAAAGGAAAAAAAAGGTCGTGGCCAGGCCCTAGTTATAAGATTTTAAATAGTTGCGCTGCCTGTCCTATGAGCTTCTYGGTATCACAAATGGAGGGGAGAGTCAGGAAAGGGCAAATGGGGCAAGACTCCCTAACAGTCCAGGACTTCATCTTGTACGGTCGGGGAACCCTGCAGAATCTGAGGGTGCAGGGAAGGTGGCAGGCAAGGCAAAGAGGGCTGCTGGGTCTAGGGAAGACCAGACACAAGGAGAATGGCAGCAATGAGTCCCTGGACTCTCACAGATCATTTCCTGTAACACCAGTCCAAATAACACGCACTGCATGCAGGAGGTGGCTGCGTACCAGGGTAGATGCTTTTAAAAATATATTTTAATTAGTCCCTGGGACTCACGGAAATAAATTTTTAGAAGCAAATCATCTAGTCTGATGATAAACTTGTTGATCATATTTATATTTGTTTTTTTAAAGGTATCCCAAGCTTCCCTGCCTAAATCAAAACATGCTTATTATTCACTCCACATTGCTTCCAGTCAAGGGTCAGGGAGCTAAAATTTTAAGGCTTTCACCTAAAACAAGGAGTACTGGCCTGGGCTGAWGCAGAAGCCTGGGTACTGGACCTGGGCAGTTCCTGATGACTCAATTCCTGAAGTAAATCTAGACAGAAGGGGGACAGGAGGCCGAGTAGGAGGGTGAGGCAGTTCCTAGGTAGTTTGTCCTGAAACCCTAGTGGAGAAGCCAGCATGAGGCACCCATTGACAGAAGTGCCCAGAAACGGCTGGCTGCATCTGTAGGAGTTAACAGTAGAGAGGTAGAAGTGTGTTTCTGAGTCAGAAAGGAGGGTCTAAGGAGGACCCCACAATGGTGGCCCCTGAAACTGCCTCCCTTCCACGCATGGGGAGAGCCCATGCAGAACTGAGATGAAGCAGGGTTTGGGGTCTGGTGGGGTTCTGGGAACGGGTTGTGCTGTCTGTTGCAGGGAGCCCCACAAATCAGAAGAACTAAATCACTTCTCTCAAGAAGCCTTGTTGGATACTAGGGGCAAAACTGAGGGGTACTGAACCATGGGAAGTTCTCGATGGAGAGCAGAGAAGCCTATGCACAGTGGCCATGAGTCCATGGGGACTGCGAAGTGGAGGAGACAGAAGGGACACTGTGGATAAGAAAAATTTTGGTATGAGAGGCAACAATGATTASATAGGACTCAACTATCTGCCCAGTTCTAACATTCTGAAAACTCTTCTTCCAAC